GTGTGTTCATACCTGATGGTAGATTATTTTTAAGCAAGCACAATTGTTGAGAAAACTGGGTTTACATCCACAAAAGTACGTATTTTTTTTATAGAAATTTGGGTTTCTTGATCAGCCAAGTTGGATTTTGGCTCCGTCCTTTGAGAAACAGGCTTGGATTTTATTGAATAGACCTTTGTGAGTTCATACGTGAAGGTAGATTTTTTGAAGCCAGGTTGGATTTCGGTTCTATCGTTTGAAATTTGTGCTTTGATTTTATAGAATGGAACTTGCTGAATCCGTACGTGAAGGACCAACCTGCTTAATTTTCACAAAAGTAGGTATTTTCATAGAAATTTGATTTTTCTGTTTTGCCGAACTGAAATAGGCTTGTATTTTATAGAATAGAACTTGTTAAATCCATACGTGAGGGATGAATTTCTCAATTTTTGAGAAAACCGAGTTTAAATTTACAAAATTACTTATTTTCATAGAAACTGTAGACTTTGATTTTAAAGAAAGAACCTTGCTGAATCCATACGCCAGGTTTAATTTTTTGATTTTTTGTGAAAACCGAGTTTAAATTTACAAAAATACGTATTTTGATGGAAGTTCGGGTTTCCTATTCAGCCAAGTTGGATTTTAGCTCCGTCCTTTGAAAAATAGGCTTAGATTTTATAGGCTGGACCTTGCTGAATCCACACGTGATGGTACATTTTTTGAAGCATGCACAATTTTTTTTTGAAAACTGGGTTTAAATTCTCAAAACTACTATGAAAATAAACAGAAATTTGTGTTTCCTGTTTAGCCAAGTTCAATTTCGGCGCCTTCCTTTGAAAATAGTCGTGGATTTTATAGAATTGCTGAATGCATACGTATTTTCATAGAAATTTGGTTTTTCGGTTCTGCCAAATTGCATTTCGGCTCATATATTTTATTGAATGGACCTTGCTGAATCCATACGTGAAGGTTGAACCAGGTTTATAATTCGAAAAGTATATTTTTAGAAATTTGGGTTTTCTTTTCTGCTAACTTGGATTTTGATACCGTCCTTTGAAAGTTATGGCCCTTGCAGAATTCATACGTGATGTTTATTTTTTTAAGCACACACAAAGCCGGGTTAAAATTGACAAAAGTACGTATTTTGATTAAAATTTTGTTTTTATGTTCAGCCAAGATGGATTTTGGCTCCTTCCTCTGAATATTAGGCTTAGATTTTGTTGAATAGACCTACCTGAATCCATACGTCTAGTTATATTTTTTGAAGCACGCGCAATTGTTGAGAAAACTGAATTTAAATTCACAAAGTAGGTATTTTCATATCAATTTGGGTTTTTTGTTCTGCCATGTTATATTTGAATAAGGAGGAACTATCGCAATTAGAACGTTTTTATCATAAGAACTATTACGTTTGTGGTATTCCGCTTGATGGTTTACCCGGAATTTATCAAAACCCAAAAATCACACTGTTCGCGCCCGTCGCGGGAAATCTTTCGGACACATGAAAAACTCGCGGTTTACATACAAACACCTTTTATTACGCGAACACAAAAATACATTTATTACAGGACGAAATTACTAAGGAGATGTTTCCTCCGCGACGCTTTATTATAACTCATATTTTGCTATCTACGTACCTATGTGCCACACAGCTGACCCGATCGTTAGCGATCGATCGTCAGCTGTATGTACATAGGGATCAAGAGCGGACCGGCGGGAGAGATTCGCTCTCATACTTAGTTTTCTAGGGATGCACATGTGAAACTGTGTCATCGATACTTATATCTTCTCGCTCTAACACACACTTATGCGCGAAATGTATTGTTGATAACCCGAGTGTTGCACATAATAAAGTCAACATTTGTGGCTTCTGTTATACATTATTGTCGAAAATCACGGTCAAAGGAGTATAAGACTATAAGCAAAGGCTAAGAAACGCTTGAAATAAACGGTTTAGATGTGATGTAAAACAAATTTTGTATGTTTTTTTTTTTGTTTATTTTTTATTCCCCATCCCCCCTCTGGTGGGAGCATCGAGTGAAAAAAGAAAACCTTGTGATTTGTTCTGGCCTTATGTCCTACGATTAAAAAAAATCACCTAATTGACATGATTGCACGCATTTTTTTCAAACATGGAACATGTCGAACAGGTGGAACTTTTAGTCACGAGACGCCTCTGGACTAAAGGGGACAAGAGAGAAGTCTATAAAACGACAGAAGTTTGGCGAGATTGGGCAGGCCTACTCTAAAGTAATAATAAAAAAAATCACACCTTTGTGCAGTTAAGCGGTTTCGAGACATACAAATACAAAATAACATTTAATATTTTACATAAATTACATGTTATTCGTGAATATTTCGCAGAATATTCAGCTTACTGAGTCGCATATTCGGTGTTCGACCAAAGGCAATAATACTATTAGGTGCAGCTTTAATTTAAGTCTCTCGGTGGTCAGTGCGTTCAGCTACCCTAAGCTACATTGCAATTTTATCTAGGTTTTAAAGCGTTCTACAAGTCTAAATCATGGTCTACAAAACTGGCATAAAACGCAAAAAACCATCATTGTTGCTTGGAATGTGTTCTGCCGTACCAAGACGAGAGCTCAAGGCAATGACATTACTTTAGGTTTCTTTATTAAAGATACTTTCAGCCATGCAATTAAATTGAATATCCTTCTTTTGATACAATTCCATGAAGATTATCATGGTTACTACCTATATCACTAGCCTAATTGTCATAAACTCTGAACTATTTAGGTAAAGCAAATATATCATATTAACAATATGATCCATTCATGCCTTTTCCAAATGTTGCAATGGCGACGCGCAAAATATTACTTCACGCACCATCTAGCGTTGAAAAAGGTCAGCAACAATCATTCAATTACAATCGAGGGGTGCGAATATAGCACTTATTACAAAAGTAATAGTCAATTTATTTTCATTAATTACATTGTGGATATTGCTTTAACATTTATCTGATATGTCACTGTTGTCATCAAATAAAATAAAATTCTAAAATACATTCATTTGAAATATTAAACAAATTTTCATTTGGTTTACCCCTCGTGACGATAAACAAATACATTAATAGCCTTTTTGGCAACAGAGGTGCTTTCATCGCTAAAAATTCGGTTCGCCAGCTAAGCGAAAGAGTGGATCATATTGGTAATATAATATATTTGGGTAAAGTCTAATCTTGCAGGTTAGTGCATCAAGTTCCACGGTATTGTTTCTTCAAAATTGAGCGCAAAAGGACTTTATTAATCCCGACGTTAGGTGATAGGTAAGCTGCTGGTGGACGCATATCGCATACCATGTTATAAAACACAATAACTCCAAAAATGTCAAGTCGTTTTGTTCCACTTGTATATTGGACGCATACTTGTCCCACTGGAACAATACAAAATCTATATATTAAATTAAATTGTTTTTTTTTTATAAATCTAGCTTTCAAAATCATAAGGCCCTAACTGCGATGGTCGTTCTCTTTATACATTTTCTTTTCTGAATTGTTCCTGTGGTACACTGCGTACTGCCTTTTTACACACCGCCAGAGCATTCAATGTTACACTCCGTACCAGTGCTCGATAGCAAACACCGACCGTAGCGAACAAGACAGCGGTGGCGGTGCCCGTGTATAATGTTTTGCACCTGGTACTGCGGACTCACTCAATGTGCTTGTCATTTGGGAGCCAGTCAGAACTGTCAAACGGGAGCCAAACATTCAGAAGCAACAAACTCAGTTACTGTTCTTACCTCTCGTCAAGCACTGCAATCTCATAAAAATGATTAAAACTTTTTCATAACGCATTCTTAATTGTAAGCTCAAAGACAAAAACCAACCGGCTCAATGATGAAAGTATAAAAACCAGCATAGTTTTTATGACTCAGCTGAGTTTTAAATTGCAGTAAAACATACTTTGGCGAAACACGTATGTAAACAAACTTTGATAGAGTCATGGGGGCTCGAGCATTTCTGGTTCAGAGCTTTTGGCGGGAATCAACTGAGAAAAAACAAAACAATTTTAAACTTGAACAAATTTTCAAGCAGTTTTCCATTGGCTTGCAAAATGAAATCGATTTACTCCGCAGTACTCAGTTTTGCACCGGTGTATGATGTTTTGGGTATACACCAAAACCGAGTGTTTCCGACATTCGGCAAACACTGGAGTCGAGTGTTTTCGATTTCGGAAAAAACGCTCGCTGATCGTAGGTATTTTCTTTGGGCGTCTGATGAAAGATTATCGTTTTACACGAGGTAGCTCTTATGTCTTTAGCATCTTCCACTTTATAAGCGCTGATAGACGAGTGGTAAAAGCATTAGTCTCAAAATGCCACCGTCCATGGTTCGATACTAGTCTGTGCAAACACACCCCCCCCCCACCCTTTTTATAATCATAACCGATTTTTTTGGCTAAAAAACATAACGCAACCTAATGAATCTTATGAGCTATAGGGATCATCTACCAGGATCATTAAAAAAATACACAGATCACCCACTTCCGAAGAGCGTGTTGATGTCCACACACTTGTATTTATTGTCTTTATATCAACGAATTGAGCTGATTGTTTTAATGCGATTAGAGGCAATCTAATAATAATAATTTATTGCCAGCAACAAAAAACAGCTCAACTGATTGTATCATAGTCGAGATATATGGGATGTTTATATAAATGCTGGTTCACTAGCTCAACCAGCACAATTAACTAGTACGATTTTCAGTTGCTCCTGAAATCTCTTCCTCACCATCACATATGTAAACACCGCAAAACGGTGGGTGAACAGAACTACTCTCCATTCATGTAAGGTGCAGCAAGCATGTTTTCCAAAAATTTCGATTTAATCGAAAACACTCGGTTTCGGTGTTTGCCGAAGCATCATACACCGGTACAAACAAATTATACACGGGCACCGCCACCAGTTTATGTTTAGAATGTTTATGTAATATTCCAACTTTTGCTGTAATCATCAGTACGTACATGTTAACTTTGCTAATAATAAATGCTCTGAAACTTACCTACGTTTTGTTTTTGATTCGTCGATTTCGCCACGCTGGTGTTTTCATTTTTAAACGGCTGCTAGGATGTATTTAAAATGGTTATTATTCAACAGATGGATATTACAAAGGGTAAATTCCAATAAAAATTACGATGTTGGCTTAAATGCTTACCGACTTGGTGGATACCTGGGGACTATCCAAAGACATACCCGGAGAGTTCAACATAGGTTGAGCGCTCTGAATTGGATAGGAAATCAGAGATGGCGTTTCGGGATACATTGGATAGGCATTGTAGGGATCCGTCAATACTATCGGATTGCCCATGGGAACGTTCATTTGGGACATCATGTTTATGTCCATAAACGCATCTTGAGCAGACATGTTACTACAGACATGCTCTACTGCGTTCCTGGAGAACTGATTGGTATGCGGATAAGAAACAAATTGACTGTTTATCTCACACCGATACTGCTCCAACTCGGGGAACTCCTTTCCTTCCTGAGCAAACTTTACCGCGAGATCGTCCAGAAAGCTCTTCTTTGCAATCAATGCTTTGGGATCTCTCCGTTCCGAAGACCGACTGCGACCGCGATGTGACCGGGTAGGTGATCTTATCCTATCACGGGGACTCCTGGATCGTCTTCTGGGGCTTCGTCGCCATGAATCGCGTCTTCTGGAGGGAGAAGGGCTACGTCGACGGACAGGAGATCGAGATCTTCTGCGTGATGGAGATCGAGACCTTCGCCTTATCGGTGACCGACCTCCTCTGAAGGAAGTACGCTCCTCGAATGTATCCTTGTAATTATAATTCCTAACAAATAGTATAGGACTCTTGGATTTCTCTCGACTGGTTCGAGTTTTGCTGGTTGTCCGTGATTTCTCGATTTCCCTTTGTTTCCCATCCGATCTAACAATGGCATCTTTTGGCTTCGTCTTACTTATGCTATCCTCTGACTTGATTTTTAAATTCGCAGCAGTTTTCTTGTGTTCAGAAGCTGAATCTTTGCCATTTAAAGTTTTATCAGATTCCTTGTCGACCTTGCTGGTACCCGGTTTTTTATTGTTCTCTCGGTCCTTCCCTCCTCCGCTATTACCATCTTTCTTATCACTACCACCCTTCGAATTCTGCTTCTTACTCGAGCTCGAATCCGACTTCTTATCTTCATCCTTCGGCTTTTCCTTCACTTTTGCATCCTTATTTTTATCGTCGCCTTTATCTGTTTTATTATTTCTTGATCCAAAATTCGATGGTTTCTTTTTATCACTACACTTTGCTTCTTCTTTTTTGTCACTTCGCTTTCTGGCATCAGCCAACTTTTGTTCAATAGCTTTCTCCATATCACTCATGCTAATTATACCTATCGCTTTGCTCTTCTCGGCTATCGGTAGCACAATAATTGTGAGATAATGATTATCTAGTGTTTATGCCTGATTTTAAGGCGGATTTTTGATGAAAATTCTATCGCGATTTGCACTTATTTACCTCATGATTGCCAGTCAACATTAATGGCGGCGCGGTACACGTAATGGGCGATCTCGATTCGATTTTCGTTGAACCGATTTTTCCACATCGATTAATCGATTTTTAAGAATAGAAATTCGACAGTGAGCATGCATAAGGGCCTATACGCGATGATCGATTCTCTTCGTCGATTTTCTCTTTCGTTAATAACTCGCTAGATTGAATGTTTATCGGTGCGTTTGCTGTTGCTGTTGATAGCCAATACACCCTGTTACTACTCTGCATTGAACAAATTCTAGAAAATTGTTTCGCTTAGCTGTAGAAATGCAAAGAGAAAATCGATGAAGAGAATCGATCATCGCGTATTCGCCCTTATGCATGCTCACTGTCGAAATACTATTTTGCAGAAAACCTACACTCAAAAATATTACAAAACGAATATAGGTTAAATTTTATGCATTTTATGGTTTTTCAAAATTTATACATTGGTTCGATTAAAATTTTCGTCAAAATTATACTAAGTCCGAATAACGGAGTGGAATTCGATCAGTGTTTACTAAAATGACAGGAATAAGAACATCTGGATTCCCTTCGGAGCTTCGTGCTGGTGAAGGGCTTTGTCCCAGCGGATTTCTACTGCACCTGTAATCTGCTGGGCAGCATCGAAATTGTAAGTATTTTTTAAATATTATTAATAAAAAATAAACTAATGAAAAAAGCTTCCTGAGAAAAATTTTATTTTCATTTGAAAACAATAATATTTACCATAAACGAAATAAAGAAGCGAAAAATACATTCTCTTGAATAAACCGTATCTACACACAAAAAATAATCGTTACTAGTCTTTGAAGCCACCCCTAATAAAAATAACCATAAAAGAGAGCTTACCGACGTGTTCGGGGTATCATCCAAACCATTTGTGGTATAGTTTACCCATCCGGGATACAGTTCGTTTATGGTATTTATTTATTAGGGACGTGAAGTAAAACTTTTATGGGGCACTGAAACATTTTGAATCTTGTTGGTGGGTTTGCAATCTGGCAAAATCTTCACAATGGAATGCCTACCATGTACATCATCAAGACGTTAAATTATGGTACAACTCCATGTTTACTTGAAAAGCCAATAATTATCATCGTCAACGAATAACAAGCATACACAAATTTTGCATGCTGCGACACAGGTTTTGTGGATGGCAATTCGGTATTTAATGTTGTTGAATGATGGACGTAGATTTTTCTCGTCAAACGTCTTTGCTTGACAATCGTGGAACGCACACAAAACAAACAGGTTGCTATGTCACCGTGCATTGAATATTGAGCAACTCGAGTTACTCAGAGTTACTCAAAATTTACTCCAGTATGACTCATTATCAAAAGCTGTCTTACCCCTAGCAGAAAACACTTATTTTCAGTATAACTACGCTTAATACCGTTAAATTTACCATGATTTCATATAGTTTACTATAAATATATTCAAATTTACATAATTCTGTCAAAACTACTATGGTTACTCAAACGGTATAGTAGTTGTACGGTTGAAGACGGGTTTTCCAACTCCCGAGAGCAAACGCTGTTTTTGTTGTGCTGTTAGCTTCAAGCTAGAAAAGGATATTTATTTTAGTCTAACCTACAAACTGCTCCCACTTCAACTTACAATTTTGGTAAACCGACAATAGTTCAAGTAGTGAGTCGTCGGATTCGTACGTTGTAGTTTTTAAGCTGAATCTAGGTTAAGATATTATTAGTTCACTAATTTTAAGCTATATTTTAAGCAAACAAACTTACTTTTAGTGTTGTAGGATAATATAGGTATCGCATTTAAATGCACTCGTTTAAAGTCAAATACTACAACGGCACCGGTGGTGTAGTGGTAAGCGTGATTACCTCTCACCCCAGCAGGCCTGGGTTCAATCCCAGTCGGCGCCGCCGGGATGTTCTGAGGCATAACATCTCTGATCACGCCTTCCTTCGGATGGGAAGTAAAGCCGTTGGTCCCCGGTTCATAAGTTGATGGGTCGATAGGTAGGGTCCAGGTGTGGGAGCTGCCTTCCTGGCACGTCGGTAGCATTGGTGCTCAGCACGGAAAACAAGATCGACGGAAAAAACAAACCAAAGGAAAAAAAAAAAAAAAAAAAAAGTCAAATACTTTTAAGTACAAATAATAAATTATTTTAGAATTACTGTTGTTCTCGTTGTAAATCGTTCTCTCTACCGATTGTTTTTTTTTTTTTTTTCCCATACTCTACAGCGATGACAATCGTAGACGTGCGCTGTCATCGAGATATGTGAAGTGAAGTGCGATGGTTCATTCAGCGTTCTGTGCGCACGGCGCCGCTGCGACGGGGGGTCCGTCGTTACAGTAGTTTTGATAGAAAAATTAGTAAAATTAAATGAATTTCGTTTCTGCACAAATCTATTGGTGGGAGTTTTTAATTTAAACCATCAATATAGTATTTTTGCCAATGGATTTTGTTTCTGTGTATAAAGGTAACCAGCGTAAACACATTAATGTGTAAAATTTCACACATTTCGTGAAAAAAGGGGCCTACTCATAAAATGTGTAAACAATAGAAGTGTATTTTTCAAGAACGGTTTTACAGCAAAATGTGTAAAAAGTAATCATTTCTTATTGTTATTGTTGACAAAGTTTTTTTTTGACTAAGTTTTATTGAAACAATTTTGTAACAAAGATTGTCACGTTAAGTTTTATCCCTAATAAAAATTTTATGGTTATTTTGCTTAACGACGTGTTCAAGGTATCACTGGAAACTAACGATTTTAAATTGGCTCACTACTTGACTAGCCTATTGGTCCCAAGCAAATCGATTAACGTACCCCATTCTAGTTGAAATTCTAGCACAACACTATGTTTGTTTTGATTCGCTATGAAAGTTTGACAGATAAAATGAGAGGTTTATGGATTTTTCTATGTTTCGAGGGGTGCATCGATTAGCTTGGGACCGAAGAGAGTACCAGAGCTGAGCCAAAAAGTTGAGTACGTTTCTTCGGGACCTTCTAGTCTTATGGCGGTAAGCTCCAATCGGTATTATCCTCGGATTAAATCCCGATCAAGAATGTCCGGCTGCTTTGATGTCGACATCAGAGTTATTCAACACGATGCTATGCAAATACTTCGAAGATCATCCAAACAGGGACGGTATTAAAAGTTAATCCTAGTTGGAGCCTACCGCCATTAGAGTTACCTCTATGGTATCACCACCGACAACCCGACATAAATGACCATACAAACTACATCATCAAATTTCTGATCAAAGCACAAAACTGGCATCTGCCACCGTGTTTGTGAAAAATGTGTAAACTAGCCACGAACACTCATACAAAATGTTTGAGTTGGTTCGTGTCTAATTTATTCCGGGCAAATTATTTTTATCTAGATAACAAATTTATATATGGTTGTGACAGATGGGATCACTGCACATTTGAATGCGCTTTTATGGATTCTCTATCATGAGTTAAGTTTATGTTTCATGTCGGTTTGTCGGTGGTATCACCCAAAACCATTTGAACTGTTCTATTATTTGGGTTATCGTTAGTTTATTGTTATTTTTATTAGGGATTGCATATTTATGATATTTTTTATCCTCGAGCTCGAGCTCAAACAAACTTGCGTAAATGAAATAAACGGAGTTTCCAGTTATCAACATTTGGCTTGACAGATAATTGCAGATTCATTTTATGAACGACAATGGAACCTGATGGAACATTCCAATTGACGTTGTCGCGTTGGACGATGAGTGGCAACCCGCATAAATGCGAACCATTTGTAAACAATGGCTTTAGCGGTCGATTTCTCGTGAATAAAACCCGCATAAACACAAACCAAATTTTGACATTACCAAAACTGGTTAAAAATGGTTTGTAATCCCTGCTTAACTTAAACTGAAATTGTTAAAGGACTTTACATGAACAATTGTGTGATAAAGTTTTAACCGTATGCATCATATTGATGGTTTAAATTAACTACTCCCACCAATAGTTTTTTTTTTGCAGAAACGAAATTCATTTATTTTACTATTTTTTTCTATCAAAACTACTATGCCGCGTTGCGTATCTAAAACAAAAATGCCAACAAAGAATCAATTTTCTTCGTACAATTACCGGAACTTGGTGGGGAGCACACCCGGAAGATCTTATCAGGTTGTATCGAACAACCATCTTGTCGGTTCTAGAGTACGGTAGCTTCTGCTTTCAATCCGCGGCGAAAACACATATCTTGAAGCTGCAACGAGTTCAATACCGTTGCCTCCGAATCGCGCTTGGCTGTATGCACTCGACGCATACGATGAGCCTCGAAGTACTCGCGGGTGTTCTCCCACTGACAGATCGTTTCGCTGAGCTGTCTTTCCGGTTCCTCATCCGTTGTGAAGTATTGAATCCTTTGGTAATAGAACACTTTGAGAAGCTGCTCGACCAAAATCCTCAAACAAGATTCATGAGTTTGTACTATGAGTACATGACGCTGGAGGTTGGTCCTTCTTCATTAATCTCCAATCGTGATTGCTTCCAAGCCTTCTATAGTTCCTCTGTAAATTTTGATCTGACCATGATGCAAGAAATCCATGGAATACCAGATCACCATCGGTCGATGGTTGTTCCCTCAATTTTTGCAATCAAGTACCACCATGTAAGTAACGATAAAAGATTTTTCACAGATGGGTCAACCATAAATGCTTCCACTGGATTTGGTGTATTTAATCAATTTCATAGCGCCTCCTATAAACTGCAGAAACCATGCTCCGTATACGTTGCGGAACTCGCAGCTATATTTTACGCAGTAGAGCGAATTGCCTCACTACCTTCTGACCATTATTTCATTTTTACGGATAGTCTTAGCTCATTGGAGGCTATTCGTTCAATGAGGCCGATGAAGCACTCCTCGTATTTCCTGCCTGAAATACGATCTAAACTGAGTGCTTTATCTAACTGCTCCTATACTATCACCTTAGCTTGGGTCCCATCTCATTGCTCAATTCCGGGTAATGAGAAAGCGGACTCATTGGCTAAGGTGGGCGCTATGGAAGGCGATATTTTTCAGCGACAAATCGCCTTCAACGAATTTTTCTCCATTGCTCGCCAGCAAGTCCTCATCAGTTGGCAACAAAAATGGAATGATGGTGAATTGGGAAGATGGTTACATTCTATTCTCCCACAGGTGTCGAACAAACCATGGTTCAAAGGGTTGGACATGAGCCGCGACTTTATACGCGTTATTTCAAGGCTTATGTCCAATCACTGCTCGTTAGACTCGCACTTCTATCGAATTGGGCTCTCAGGCAGCAATTTATGTGCGTGTGGCAGTGGTTATCACGATATCGAGCATGTTGTTTGGTCGTGTACCTTACACCGTGTTGCCAGATCTGAGTTATCCACATCCCTCAGGGCCCGAGGAAAACAACCCGCGATACCCGTTAGAGATGTCTTGGCGAGCCGAGACCTTGACTATTTGAATTTAATTTATGTGTTTTTAAAACGGATAGATTTGAGGATTTAGAAGTTAGTGTCATCTTGTGTTCTCCCAAGTTGTTAGCTACCCATCGGTGTACCCCCATGTTTGTCTTTTTCATCAGAGTGTCGCCTAGTTCGAGATCAAGAGCACATTGCTCTCCAAACCTTGTGTTCACAATCCCTACCCTGCCATCCATTTGTTACAATTTGTTACCCCTAACCTCGAGATAGCCGCGAGTAATCGGCCCCCGCTTTACTAACGTTAGTTTTAAGTAATTTTGTTATCTAAACAATGAATATCGGCTCCGCAAAGCTACAGCAAATGAGCCTGGAAAAATAAACGAATTATTAAAAAAAAAAAAAAAAATACTATGCCGTTTGAGTAAGCATAAAAGTTTTGACAGAATAGTAGTAAATTTGATTATTTTATAGTCAACTATACTGAAATCATGGTTTTAGAAGATTTAACGGTAGTTATACTGAAAATAAGTGTTTTCTGCAAAATAGTATTCCTAACTATGGTCTTTATTTCAGTGTAGTTTCTAAATGCAATTACACTCCTTTGACATGTTGGCACTGAATTTATGAATGCTTAAAAGTTGCCAAGTCCATCAGTTATAGTTATATTGGGAATGATTAAATGTCAAGAACGCTCTCTCTGATATAAAGAGCCTGAATTTAAATTTAAATAAATTCAGGCTCTTTATCTGATCAAAGACTATAAGGTCCGGGTCAACAGGCAGCTATGCTGGTGTTAGAAGCAAAAATATTGTAAACATTGCTGAGCACTCAAGTGACGACGTCACTCTACCATAGCATTCCATAGACCTTTTTGACGTTTAATCATCTTTCTCTATCTAGCACACATGGATGAATCGACGGTTTGTTTTCCCACTAATCTGTTTCCCTCTTGCTCGCACTCGTTCGATTTAAAAGGTACAGTATGTGTGCGCCGATTAAACGTCAAAAAGCTCTATACTGCGAACAGTGATATTTACGTCACTGCCAACAGCTGTTCCGTGTAAAAAGATAAACATTGCAATGAAATACGAACACCACATTAAATGTGCAAATGTTTAGTGGTTTCGTATTTTATTGCAATGTTTATCTTTTTACACGGAACAGTGAAATTTTCACATATAGGTGTTTATAAGCCTGTTGGCACGGACCTTATATAAATGACATTGCTCTCTGACATCACTTCCCAATAATAATGTAAACAGGTGAGGCCCAGAGAATTTGTCATCTCTTTTGTTCCACCGCTGTTTAAACGGTTGACGTCAAACTCCGTCAGCCTTTAAACATTGGTAGAACGAAAGAGACGACAATTTCTCTGGGCCTTACCTGTTTACACTCATTTCTTCCATCCCATCATCAGCAGTCTATTTGATTGACGTATGAACGAAACATAAAATTTGACTGGCTGGAATTTTCGCTGCTATACTATTTTGCAAACAATCTGGAAAAACTACCTTTGGTGAAAAATATCATGCAAATTCAGTAGCAGGTATGTTGTTATATTCTACTATCTCTGGTATGGCTGTGCAAAAAGAATCTAAAGCCTTGAAAATTAGAAACCAAAGAAACTGACCCATTTTCGATGATATCACAATATTAGCCAAGCCAGCTAGCCAGTCGTGTTCGTCCATGCATTATTGATTCATTTCCCAAATACGGCTATAAATCAAAGTTGGCGAAAACGAAAACCCTAAATAACTTGTTGGTCCTCCCCAGTGTTGTTGGTTATTCGAAGATTGCATTGACAAATTCATTTCGGCTCCTTTCAGATCCAGCCAGGTTTATCATGGAATTGTCACACAGTCTCACGCTGAACGAGGATGCACTCAACCAGATACCGGAACCAAAACGTCCGGTGTTCATCTTTGAGTGGTTACGTTTTCTGGACAAAGTACTAGTGGCAGCGCAAAAATCGGACATCAAAGGTTGCCAAAAGAAGCTGGTCGAACAATTGACGCAGCACATCCAAGGATCGCCCGGTCCTCCGACGAGAAAATTGATAGCTCGTTGTTTAGCGACCCTGTTCTCGGTTGGAGATACATTTTTGCTATTCGAAACAGTGAATAAGTGCAACGATATCCTGAAAAACAAGGATGATTCTCCAAGCTACTTATCAACTCGATTGGCAGCGATTTGCGTCGTGGGATGTATGTATGAGAAGCTGGGTCGCATGATGGGTAGATCCTATGAGGAGACGGTACAGATTTTAATCAAATCATTGAAGAATGCTGAATCACAAGTGCGGATTGAAATAATGCTTACATTGGAGAAAGTTTGCGCCGGCATGGGATCGGCAATTTCCAATGTACACAAAGATATCTACAAGGCTGTGCGCTACTGTCTGACTGATCGCGTTATGGCGGTTCGCGTGGCTGCATCCAATTGCTTACTTGAAATGACCAAACATGCACCATTCCTGTATACAACCGAGCTAGAAAGTCTGGCTTCGCTATGTTTCCGTGCATTCGATAGCTGTAACTACGAAGTAAGATGTGCAGTTGCAAAGTTATTGGGAACGCTGATCGCGTGTACGCAGAATGGTAGTTTGAGAAATTTTAACAGCATGACATCGTCGGCTTCAAGTACCAAGTCGGCGCGCTCGATATCGCTAGATGAGGCCCTTGGAGTTCTAATGGCCGGATTCCTCAGAGGAGGAGTTTCATTTTTGAAAGGTACCGGAGAGATTATCAAGGGAAGCTCCGGAGTTAATCGTGAGGTTCGCGTGGGAGTGACTCATGCCTATGTTGTGTTCGTTCAAACAATGGGTGGTTTGTGGTTGGAGAGGAATATGCAAACGTTTCTCGTACATGTGTTGGATTTAGTCGCCAATCCAAAGGCTGCTTCATCCCACGTAGATGCAGTATATTCTAGGAAATGTATCAACTTTATCCTACGATCGGTGATCGGTAAAATGCTTGGAGAAAAAGCTCAAACATCAGCTTGCAAAGAACTGATACACATCATTGCCAAACAAATGAATTCAATCGACTTCAACCCGGAGAACGCGAAGGATTCCAATCAGGAAACTTTGTTTAGTCAACACTTGCTGGTTTGTGCATTGCAAGAGCTGGGTAGTTTAGTTCTACTTTTGGGAACAACAGCACAAAATTTGCTCACCGATCAATCGCTGAACTTCATTGATGCAACATGCGCTGTCCTTATTCACCCTTGCATGGCAGCTCGGCTTGCAGCTGCATGGTGTTTACGCTGCGTATGTGTAGCGGTTCCCAGTCAGATAACTCCGCTCATAGATCGATTCATAGAAGCGATCGAGAAAATGAGAACATCTCCCGATGCCATTTCCGGGTACAGTGGAGCACTGGCTGCTGTTCTAGGGGGAGTTCGTTATTCACCGCTTGGCATTCCACATACAAGAGGAAAAATCATTTTCAATACTGCTGAAGAGCTCCTCCGAACTGCTAGTCAAAATAGCCGATTATCGTTGAATAGAACACAAGCTGGCTGGTTGCTCATTGGGGCAATCATGACATTGGGTGTACCTGTAGTGAAAGGATTGCTTCCACGAATGTTGCTTCTTTGGCGTAACGCTTTCCCGCGTTCTACGAAAGAACTAGACTCGGAAAAAGCCCGTGGAGATGCCTTCACTTGGCAGGTTACGCTGGAGGGACGAGCCGGAGCTCTGTCAGTCATGCACAGCTTCCTAGTACATTGTCCAGAACTAGTCACCGACGACATCACTAGACGATTGTTGACCCCCATCGAAAGTGCATTGGCGATGTTGATCAAGTAAGAATTGAATTATCTGTACCTAGGTGAACAAGATATCTAAACTTTTTGCAATTTTTGCAGCATTCAATCCGTTTTGAAAAGCTACGGTCAGCATCTCAAGGCTCCCACAGCAATGGTCCGTTTGCGCTTGTACGAAACGCTAGCCCTGTTGCCGGCGAATGCACTAGAATCATCGTACACGCATCTTCTGCGGATGCTAGTTTCCGAATTTACATTGACTGAAAATCCTGCCAATACGACAACGTCGCTTTTACGACAGATGTGCCATGCAGATGATTCTATAATTCTCGGAACATGGCTCCAGGAAACCGATCATCGCACAATTGAAGATCAGGTAACTGGTTGTTTAAACTTTCCTTTTTCTCGACAGGTAATCAGAATCGTAATTTTTACGCTTATTTCTTCGTTTCTTCTTCGATTGAATTAAACATATTTTTTTAAATACAAGATGGAACCGAATCGTAAAGCTGACGGTGAATATGTAAGTTGTGAATTTGCTAATCTTGATGCTCGTCGTAATGGTTTTTGTTGAAAGTTGTTTCAAGTCGCGTCCTGTGACATGTCGAGCTTTTCACCATATTTTCGGCTTGCCCAGCATTTGCTAAATCCGTTAAGCTACACAAACAAATGCTGATGCGTACACGATCCTCATGGCTTATAGCTGCTATTTGTTCACATATGCAAATAATACCATAAAAGTACTCACATCATAGAAAACCTCTTAGCTGTATTCTACTTCGTTTATTTGATAGTCGACGGTCTTCCGGAGCCAAACAAGACAAATGCAAGCACCCCACTTTATCCTCTACAACATGATGTTAAACATGAGCCCGAATAACAAAAACCAGAATTACAGTAACCCGAACATTATACGCTATAGCCCCTCCCCCCCCCTAGGATTAATGTAGCCCCCTCTAGAATTGTTACTACAATTACTTATTTTTCGGTGGTTCGATGATTGAGTAATTGACAAGTTCGAAAAATAAATCACCCCCTAGGATTGTTTCTTAGTTACGCCAATGGAAGTACCTATTTCATTAATCTTGTAAATGAATGATATTATGTCAAATGCTGTAGCTATGTCAATGTCTGAAGCAATAAAACTATTGCTCTTGACACTAGTGTTCAAGTACAACCGTTTTTCGTACCTACCTTAATGTAAAGGCCCGCTGTCACAGTATAACATGTTGCCTACGCTGGTTGTAAAGCATATTATTCATGGATCATTATTCAACTGTTGTGCCTACTAGCTAAAATGTTGTTATTTCTTTATATAGACGCTGGGATTTTCTGAGGCTTAAAATCTCTGATCACGCCTTCCTTCGGGGGATGTAAAACCGTTGGTCCCCGGTCCATGAGTTGATGGATTGATATGTAGGGTCCAGGTGCGGGAGCTGAATCCCTGGCGTCGGTAGCATTTACCGGAAGGGACGAAAAACGAGATCTTCTTACCTTACCAATCAGACTAAGGCCTTGTTGCCCTCTGCTGTCCGAAAAAGTCGTCTCCACTCTACTCGATCCATGGCCACACTTCGCCAGCCTCGTAGTCTGCGAAGGGTCCGCAGGTCGCCTTCTACTTGGTCGATCCACCTTGCCCGCTGCGCCCCTTTTTTGTTCCTGTTGGGTCGCTTTCTAGAACCATTTTCACTGGGTCGTCGTGCGGCATTATTACGACTCGCCCAGCCCACCGCCCAGCTGGTGCAATTCGTGGTTCATTCGCCGTCATCCATCTGCACTCGACCGTAGATGGTACGCAACACCTTCCGTTCGAAAATACCAAGGGCGCGTTGGTCCTCCACGAGCATAGTCCAGGTCTCGTGGCCGTAGAGGACCACCGGTCTAATCAGCGTCTTGTAGACAGTCAACTTCGTACGGCGTTGAATTTTATTCGACCAGAGCGTCCTCCGGAGTCGAAAGTAGGCACGATTCCCTGCCATAATGCGTCTTTGAATTTCTCTGCTGGTATTATTTTCGGCGGTCACCAGTGAGCCCAAATACACGAACTCATCGACCACCTCGATTTCGTCACCGTCAATCCGAACTCGGGTGGGAGGCTAACATTGTCTTCCCTAGAACCTCTTCCTTTCATGTATTTTGTCTTTGATGCGTTGATGGCAAGTCCAATCCGCCTAGCTTCAGCCTTCAGTCTGATGTCCGTTTCCGCCATCGTCTCAAAGTTCCGTGCCATGATGTCAATGTCATCGGCGAAGCCAAGAAGCTGGATGGACTTCCTGTAGATCGTGCCACTCGTGTCTATCCCAGCTCTTCTGATCACACCTTCTAACGCGATGTTGAACAGCAGACACGAAAGTCCATCACCTTGCCGTAACCCCATTCGAGATTCAAAGGGACTCGAGAGTGTCCCCGATACTCGAACAACGCACATCACTCGATCCATCTTCACCTTGACCAATCGCGTCAGTTTATCCGGAAATCCGTACTCGTGCATAATCTGGCATAGCTGATCTCGATCGATTGTGTCGTATGCGGATTTGAAATCGATGAACAAATGATGTGTGGGCACGTTGTATTCGCGTGGTAGCGCGGGCACCCATGAATCCCGCCTGGTATTGCCCCACGAACTCTCTTGCAAATGGTGACAGGCGGTGGCATAGACTTAAGGAGAGTACCTTGTAGGCGGTGCTCAGCAGTGTGATCGCGCGGTAGTTGCAGCAATCCAACTTGTCGCCCTTTTTGTAGATTGGGCATACGACACCTTCCATTCACTCCTCCTCCCAAATCTTGGCAATTACCCAGTGCAGTGCTCTAGCCAGTGCTTCACCACCGTATTTTAATAGCTCACTTGTTAGTTGATCTACACCAGTTGCTTTGTTGTTCTTCAGCCGATCGATTTCCTCCTCAACTTCTTGAAGATCAGGGGCCGGTAGCATGTCGTCTTCTGCGCGTGCTCCAAGGTCTGTTGCCGTGCCACCTTCGTTTTCTGCTGCTTCACCGTTGAAGTGCTCGTCATAGTACTGCTTCTACCTTTCAATCACCTCACACTCGTTCGTGAGAAGGTTACCGTCCAAGTCCTTGCACATATCGGCTTGCGGCACGTAGCCTTTGCGCGAACTATTTAGCTTCTCGTAGAACTTCCGTGTGTCGTTTACGCGGTACAGATTTTCCATCGCCTCTCGAGCTCGGTCTTCCTGCTGACGTTTCTTCCTTCGGAAAACGGAGATCGAAGAAAAAAAAATAATTCATTTGACGACCCCTGTGGTTATTATTCTGTGATGCCAAATCCAGGTATTCCGCGAGATGGGGTATTCCGCGAAATGGGACATTTCAGCAAATGGTATTTCGTGAGATAGACTTCTGCGAAGTATACTTTCGTGAAAGGAGTGGACGGGACACATTGCAAGAATGCCGGAAAGCAATCCCACAAACAAAAAATGAGTTTGCAATCCGGCCGAAACACAGTAGAGTGCAGCGAGCTTGGTGGTTAGACCAAGTGGGGCAAGATCTAAGAAGTGTGCGATGCTCAAGAAACTTGAGACAAGCAGCCACGAACTGCAACGTTGTGGACGTGGACGAAGGACGTGTAGCCAACCAATGTAAGAGGGGGACGTTCGATCAACTGTAGACAAACAGCCACGAACCGATGTAGTTGGCGTAACATTACGTAACAGGTCAAGTCTATGGGGGCCGGCCTCCCTTAGCTCCGTCAGAAAGCGAGCCATAAAGCAAGACTATTCTGGAGGCGACATGGTTCGATTCCCGGTCCGGCCTAGGAATTTTTCGGGTTGAACAATTTCTCGACTTACCTGAGCTTAGAGTTTTGTAGTATTTACCACAAAATTACTAATGCAAAAATGGCAATGGTTTAGAAAGATCTCAATTAATAACTGTAGAAGAGCTCAAAATTGAGGGCCGGCGTAGGGACTTAATAAAACCAAAAAGAAGAAAAAGTCAAATCTTGAAAGATGTAGGACTAGGAAAGTTAAGATAAATAACATTTAGACTAATAAAATTTGCGCTAGTGTAATTCGGGATAGCGTCATTCGGGCTTATGGGCCCATATTAATATTTGTAAATTTATTTGACTATTCAATCGACTCTGTAGTGTTTTGGGAAAGATATTTTAGCATAATCAAATAAACTAACTAGAGAAAAATAAAGGTATGAACCAAGAAACAGGTTTGCACCTTAGACCACACTGCTATTCAGTCTATTCAGAATTGAACTGTGTTTCCACAAAAAACCAACAACTTTCATATCTTTCAATCCTTGAACCATTGAATTAGAACCACAAAAACGCAGATTTATCTATGACATTTGTCCATTACACCTATTTATCAGATGCTTTTTGGTTTGCAAACGCAGTACAGGCACATTTTTTCCATTGTATTCAATCCAGCTGACATTTGTTCAATTTTTGCAGCTTCAACCGAACAGTGCTTCCGGCTCGGGAGCTCTTGAGCACGACCCTTGCTGTTTGTACCGTGCAGTATCCAACGGAGAGCAATGTCCTGGGCCACTTCCGTTGGGAGTGGCAGTTATCGATATGTCCGTTGCCCTATTTGGGCTCATCTTTCCGAAGGTAGCAAATAAACATCGCTTGCAGATGCTCGAACATTTTGGTGAATGTATAAAGCATGCAAAGAGTTCCCGCCAGGAGGCAGTGCAGATGAACATCTTTACCGCGCTACTTAGCGGGCTTAAGGGATTGACCGAAACAAAGTCCAGTATTGGACAGGAAGAAGTTAGGAAAAGTGCGACCAATCTGATCATCAACGCTTTGATCTGTGCGAATCCCATACTACGATGTGCGGCAGGGGAGGCACTTGGAAGGATTGCACAAGTTGTGGGTGATTCCCGAATTACGGCGGAACTGGCTCAAACCAGTTTCGATCGACTGAAATCGGCTAGAGATGTTGTTACAAGAACTGGTCATTCCCTAGCTTTGGGTTGCTTGCACCGGTACGTTGGTGGTATGGGTTCGTCCCAGCATCTGAATACAAGCGTATCCATATTGTTAGCACTGGCCCAGGATGGAAGTTCGCCGGTCGTACAAGTTTGGTCATTGTACGCTTTGTCGTTGATTGCAGACTCAGGCGGACCAATGTTTAGAGGTTACGTAGAACCAACGCTTTCTTTGGCGTTGAAATTGCTTCTGTCTGTGCCGCAGTCACACGTAGATGTTCATCAATGCATTGGGCGAGTATTGAGTGCACTAATCACCACCATAGGTCCCGAGTTGCAAGGAAATGGCCAATCGATATGCACTGCCAGATCATCATTCCTATGCGCAGCTGCAATTATGCAATCCCATTCCGATCCACTGGTCCAAGCGGAGGCAACCGGATGTCTACAGCAATTGCATCTCTTTGCGCCTCGCCATGTCAATTTATCCACTTTGGTTCCTAATCTGTGTCAAAATCTTAGCAGTAACTATCTTATGCTGCGAAAGGCGGCCGTTTCATGTCTTCGTCAATTAACTACCCGAGAAGCTAAGGAAGTTTGTGAACACGCTATGAATCTGGTCAGCGAAGATGATGGATTTGAGTTGTCTGATTACGGTCTGCCAGGCGTGTTGTTTGGTATGCTCGACACCGAAAGTGACAACATTATGATAAAGAACATTCACGACACTATAACATCGATGCTCCAGATATTGGCTGCTGATAACCTTTCGCAGTGGTTAAGTATGTGTAAAAATGTCCTGACCGTTGCATCGGAAGCTGCATTGACCTCTGGACCGGCAGAAACTGTCACGATAAAAGAAGACGCTGATGATGCCGAAGACGCAGAAGCAGATGATGATAACGTAGAATTTCATGCCGAAGATAATCAAGCAACTCATCCGGCAGTTCAACCACGTTGGCCAACTCGCGTGTTTGCGGCAGAATGTGTAAGAAAGATTATATCTACCTGTGAAAATGCCACTGCAGCACACTTTGACTTGCTGTTGGCAAAAGAGATGCAAATAACCAAATCCCGTGGAGACTATCTAGTATTACATTTGTCAGATCTCATTCGTATGGCATTTATGGCTGCAACCAGTGACTCAGATCAGCTGAGACTGGAAGGTTTGAAAACTCTACAGGAAATCATTGACAAATTTGCGAGAGTTCCTGAACCGGAATTTCCCGGCCATCTTTTGTTGGAACAATTTCAAGCACAAGTTGGAGCTGCATTGAGACCGGCTTTTTCGCAAGATACGCCGTCACATGTTACTGCAGCCGCGTGTGAAGTTTGCTCGGCATGGATTGGTTCCGGAGTAGCAAGAGACTTGAATGATCTGCGCCGTGTTCACCAACTGTTAGTATCGAACTTGAGTAAACTAAACGACAAAACTAACAGCACGCAGTTGTACAATGAAAGTATGGCCACATTGGAGAAGCTTAGCATTCTAAAAGCATGGGGTCAAGTTTACATAATGGCAATGATGGACAATGGAACGGCTCCGGCTAGCATGATGCTGAAGGCTCTAACTTCGACAGCAACGGCGATCGCTGCACCTTCGAACGACGTAAATCGTCTGGCTCTAGATGATGATTTTGGAGATTTTGAGAGTCGTGGTGAGAGCTTACTGTCACTGGTACAACCTGAGCTGAGTAATCTGTCCATGCACTGGTTATCGGCGTTGAAAGATTATGCATTGCTGTCGTTGCCAGCTGAATACGCCAGTCAATTGCCACACGATGGCGGAGCTTTCTATACCAACGATACAATGAATCTGGCTAAACCGCATTATCTTACATCTTGGCCGCCTATTCTCTATGCTTCTGCTCTATGGCTGAATTCAGAAGGTTTTGACAAAAATGAATCTGATATCACTACCATCAACGAGGATGACAAAGCTAATGCTAATGATGTAGCGAGTATTAAAGCCATAGACAAAATGAACCAGAACACCACCACAATCAGTGGTAGTACCAGCGGTACCTTATCATATGGCAGTGTAAGTGCCGACCGGTTCCATCTGGTTTTTGGAATTTGCATGGAAGTCCTGTGCAGCACGCGAACCAATGAAAAATTGGAAAGTGTTATTGCGTGCTTACAGTCGCTCTATACGATGTTCGATTCCAAATGGTCGCGACAGATGCTATCTAAGAACAAGTCACTACCAGTGGAGCTGTGCAATGTCCTGCATCGTCTGATACTAACCAGAGATAGTATGGAAGTGCAATACTTGTGCATTTTGATCCTAAGGCAAACCATTATGGCAGCCAATGAATGTTTGAATTTGGAAAAGCTAGAAAAACTTGCACAAGTCGAAAATAAAGCAGAGAACGGTAACAATGAAAATCCTGGTATTGACAACCTCGGAGAGGGTGGCGAGGAAGGTGAAATATTGCCGGGTAAATCACATGTCTATGCTGTTTTGGAAGTAGTGCTTTGTCTGTTGGCACGACAAATTCCTGCAATGAGTCCTTCGCAATCTGCTCGCGTAGCAAACGAACAACTGCAGCGTCAAATGGCACAGACCAAGAACGGTCAATTCAAACTTTCCGAAGACAACAGTTTACTAGTTGCAACTGCCATCAATTGTATGGCCGATCTAACGAGACTATGTTCACCTACGGGTAAGTCACATGGGTTGTATAATTCACAGCACAATTCTTAAGATAGTGTATTCTTCTACAGGTGCCATATCAGTTCTTCCCACAATGCTCTATTTAACAACGGGAGTAATTAAAGAAGTAGCAACGAAATCTGTCAATGATGAAACTATAATAGCCAACTCAAATATTATTCAAGCCGCTTTGCAACTGTTGAAAACGTTAGCTACGGATCGGTACAGTAAGCACGATCTATCAGCTGAAGACTGGCGGAAGCTGCTTCAAAGTTCCCTCGGGAAGATAATTGATCTCACCAAAACAGGATGTGATGAGACCAAGCTGGATGAGGTCACAATGATGTTGACCATTGCAGTTTTCCTACTGCACACACCATCTTCGCTGGTGTCGGTTCCAAATTTACAGTATCCTTGTATAAACCACTTCAGGCAATGCTTTTTGAGCGGATCACCAATGGTTCGATTGAAATGCGTTCAAACTATGCGGTCAATTTTTGTCAATGCGGACCTGAAAGTGTCAACGCCATACATTCATGCGCTAGCTCCTAGACTAATTGAAACCCTGTTTGCTGAATCAAATCGTAGTCCATCGAACGATATGGAACTCGCCATAATACTGGAAGGTATCACAACTTTGGAAGCGTTGATAGCGCTAGCTGAACCTCAAAATCGTAAGTATCGACCATTAACCTGCCAGTGCCTTGTAGACGTTTAACACACCAAATTAAATTTATATTCTCCCATTAACTATGCTAACATTCCTTAAACAGATGAACTAATACAAGGTAAATTATCAACGTGTTGTAATGAATGAACTGCACTGTAACTTTTTCCAGAACTAACAATCTCTCAATCTTTTTCAGGCATCCAAATGTTGACCCTGCTGGTACCGATACTGATCAACTATCTGCTCGAACCGGAACAGCACCGTGTGAAGCCGAAACATTGTGTCCAATTGCACGAACACTCGCTTCATTGGCTAATGAAGATCGGACCAAAGTATCCGCAGGACTTCAAAGCGTTCATGTTGCAGGCCCCGGAGTTGCGTGTCAAGTTGGAAGCGGCCATCAAGCGAAACCAGATGAGTGCAATTCAAGCGAAGAATAAGAGTGAAGCTGCTAATGCGGCAGCCCGCGCCAGTGCAACGCAACAACAGAAACCTACGATTCAATTGAAAACCGATTTTAGCAACTTCAGTGCGACCTAGATTTCGCCCGTAAACGCTTCATCATATTGAAAACGAACTAACAATCTAAATGCATGTAGGGGTAAGAGGGGCATAGTGAACAGGTGGGGCATAGTGAGCATCCCGTGCACCATCTTGTACTTCCGGCCGTTCGGAACAAATTGGTTGGTAGTATGATCAATATCATAATGATATTGAACCTACTACCAGTTGATTTGTTTCATGCAGCTGGAGATCCAGAGCCAAACTGCGGGATGCTCACTATGTCCCACCTGTTCACTATGCCCCTCCTCCCCCTAATGTAATATTTAAATAGTACCTAGGTGTAGGAGGGGCATATTTAACTGGTGGGGCATAATGGGCAACCTATACTTTAGCCATAAATCAATTTGTTTTGAACAATTAGAAATTCAAGTCTATCACGCAGAAAAATGGATTTTTGATTCAGGGCCTAATGTATTTTGTTCTTGATTCAAACATATTGTATCACTATTTCAACAATACAAATTTTTGAATCAACAAAATAGTTTTTAGAATCAACCTTCAGATTATTAACTCTACAACCGGTTTGTTGATTCAAAAATATTTTTCTTTGAATTAACCGAATAATATATTTGAATCTATGCCAAAAATATATTAGGCCCTGAGCCAAAAATATATCCATTTGAATTTAAGAATCATTTCTCTGCGTGTAATGTACAGGATGCTTATTATGCCCCACCTGTTCACTATGCCACTCCTTCCCCTCTCTCACTCAAATTAAGCATCCTAACTAGTGGAATATTACTATTGGCTGTTTAATTTTATCCAGGTCATTAATATGTCCTAATTACTAATAAAGTGAACAATGTAGAAACTTATTTACATTCTAATATAATGGAGAAGAAACAAATAACTGTTAATATCTGTAAGTATGATTTACTGAATAATAAAGTATTACTATTATACTCACTCCAAAATATGCTATAATATTGCTCATCTTTTTTTGTATGTCACATAATAATATGTCCTTTATATCTCACTACCCAACTCAGTAAACCGTCCTACGTGGGAGGAAGTATGTAGCTACAAAAAAATCAAGTCGATTAATCAATTAGAAATATGACTTTCGTTTCCGCCCGACTTGAAAAACATGGTTTCGAGAAAAACGCGATTAAATTTAAATTTAATGCCGGGAGCGCGATTAAAGATAAATTTAACACCGGGAGGTAGTCAAACTATGTCTATCAACTCATGAACCGGGGACCAACGGCTTTACTTCCCTTCCGAAGGAAGTCGTGATCAGATATGTTATGCCTCAGAACATCCCGGCGGCGCCGACTGGGATTGAACCCAGGCCTGCTGGGGTGGGAGGTAATCACGCTTGCCACTTATTTTGGTATTACACAAATATCGAGGTTACAGCGTTTGCAGAATATTTTGATGTGAAGATGTAATATCCACACACTCAATTATTGTGTATTTGACTATGGTGTTCATTTATAAAGTAGTTAACGGTTAACTGCCTCGATATTTGTGAGATCGAATTGAAAGAGGAAATGATTTTTCATAGATATAACACTAGAAACGCGGATGAAGTTAGAACACCACACCTTTTGAATGATACTTCACAAAATTCATTATTTTTCAAAGGTATAAATGTTTTCCATTCGATGCCTAGACACATACACTTACAGAATTTAAGAGACACTGCATTTCACATGTAAAAGCTGTTAATTGAGCAGTTATATTTTTATTTTTTTGACTAGTATGTTTATTTGGAAGGCTCAATCGCGTTAGCTTTACGGAGCCGATAGTTCATTGATCTTTGTTTGTAACAAAATTCACTTAATTCTATGTCTAGTAGGAGTTGGGCCGAATACTCGCGGCTTACTCGAGGTTAGAGAGGTACATTGTCGAAGGATAGGATCAGGGGGGGAACTTGGGGGTAAGGTTTCGTTGTCTCGTCAGAGCGTTGTCACCAGTATGAATGGTAGTGCGGTTCTAGTTTCGTCTGGAGTTCGACCGGCTATGGTGGTTGACCAGTGGGCGACGATGAGACTAATCGAGACGGGGGGGACAAGACAAAAAAAAACTAATAAAGAGAGACAAAAGACAAAGGAATTAAATTCTTATACTAGACATTTGAAGAAGCACATAAACCGACTGCATATAGCAGATATCGCGAGTTCCCAACACGTCTCTGATAGGAACATAGGGTTGTCTTCCTTGGGCCTCAAGGGTATTCAAAAGTCGCTTTCTGGCGGCGTAATTATCCGTACATTGCCAAACTGCGTGATCGATGTCATCGTAACCGTTTCCACACCGACAGATGTTGCTGTCCACGAGGTTTATTCTATTGAGATGAGCATCTAGCGAGTAGTGGTTGGACATAAGTCTACTCATCACGCGAATGAAGTCACGACTTAAGTCCAAGCCTTTAAACCACGCTCTCGAAGAAACATTAGGAATAATTGAATGTAACCACCGTCCAAGATTTCCATTGTCCCAATCGGTTTGCCAACTCGAAATGGTACTCTGACGCACTAAATGGTAAAATTCATCGTGTGAAATTTGCCTGTCATAACATTCGCCTTCCTGCGCGCCCACCTTTGCGAGAGAGTCCGCCTTCCCATTAACTGGGATTGAGCAATGTGAGGGGACCCATACAAAGGTTATCATATATGATCTTTCGACCAGCACACACATCTGCTAAGATGTGTGCCTACCTTGTTTCATCGACCGAATAGCCTCGATCGAACTGAGATTATCCGAGAAGATGAAGTAATGGTCTGCGGGCATGTTGGAAATCATCCCAATGCGAAGTTGATTGCTGCCAGCTCAGCAACAAAAACGGAACAAGGTTCCTGGAGTTTGCGGAAGGCGCTAGAGTTTTCATTGAAGACACCGAAGCCAGTGGATCCACTGAGACGAGACCCGTCTGTAAAATGTCTGTTCACGCAATTGACGTGTTGGTACTTTTCAGTAAAAATACGCGGGATAATAATAGGTCGAAGTTGATCGGGAATCCCATGAGTTGCCTGTTTCATGGTCAGATCATATTCAATTGAGGAACTGCGATTGGTGAAGTGAGCACGGTCTGGAGTGTAACAAGGAAGACACATATCTGACGATATGTAGTGGTGGTAGATTCTCATAAATCGAGATTGTGTGTTCAGCCCAAGAATTTCTTCAAAATTTTCAATTATAAGTGTGTTCGTCACTCCGCATTTGATTAGTATTTTGAGAGAAAGCTCCCAGAAACGGTTCTGGAGGGGTGGTACTCCTGCCAGAACCTCGAGACTCATGTTATGCGTTGAGCGCATACAGCCGAGAGCAATACGCAGACAACGATATTGAATTCGTTCCAATTTTATTAGGTGACATTTTCTTGCCGAGAGAAAGCAGAAAGAGCCGTACTCTAGAACAGAGAGAATAGTTGTTTTATAAAGCGTTATGAGGTCTCCCGGATGAGCACCCCACCATGTGCCGCAAATTGAACGGAGAAAGTTGATCCTCTGTTGACATTTTTGCTTCAAATACGTAATATGGGTATTCCAAGTGCACTTTGAATCAAACCAGACCCCAAGGTACTTGAAAGACAATGATTGAGTAATGTTTCTGCCCAAAAGATTAAGCTGCATTTGGACTGGGTACCGCTTTCGAGTAAACACTACCAGTTCAGTTTTCTGCGGCGAGAATTCGATCCCTAGATTTCTAGCCCAAGAAGACAAGTTATCTAAGGAACTTTGCAATGGTCCTTGCAAGTCCACGGCATGTGGACCTCTTACGGAAACCACACCGTCATCTGCAAGTTGTCTTAGCATGCATTGTTCTGCCAAACAGTTGTCGATATCTTTGACATAAAAGTTATAAAGAAGAGGACTGAGACATGAGCCTTGGGGCAGGCCCATGTAGCTAATTCTGGAAGTTGTCAGTTGTCCAAGGGAAAAGTTCATTTGCTTTTCTGACAACAAATTGTACAAGAAATTATTTAAAATTCCAGAAAGTCCACATCTGTGCAGATTGTCTGACAGAATTTCAATGGAAACTGAATCAAAAGCCCCCTTAATGTCCAAGAATACTGATTGGGTATTAGCGAACTATACTTTTGCGGATTTAAAGCTTGGACTGCCTTTCGGAAATCGAAAATATACTTATTTTTTTTACTACGGTTTCAAAACACGTTTATTATTCTGGACGAATGAAACAAAACTCCCTTCATTTGACATTTCAAATTGATTTTTTCGGAAATAGAAAATTTGTTCAATCCGAAGGTAAAAATACGGCGCTCGCAAAGTCGGGGGGTGCTTCGATACTGGAACATCCTCCCCGCCTTGAAGCCACAAGTGGCTTCAATCAGACGGCAGCACACATAACTTATAGATCGGTCGTTGGTACACAGTTGAGCCACGCCGCAAGGTCACCACCCGAACCACTCCTGATGCGTCTGGATGAATCATTTCCACTCTGGCTAATTCCCACTGTGCTGGTGGTGCGTTATCGTTTTTGACTAGCACTAATTCACCCACGTTGATATTTGGTTGAGAAGTACGCAAAAGCTGGAACAATTAACGATTAGCTGCTTTTCAACCTCATAGTTGATTATTTTCGTCGTCAGTGTACACAACGATTTGATCGGTTTGACCTCCAACGAATCTTCGTCGACAACCTGTGGTGCTGGGCTTCGCTTCCAACCCGATTCATCTTCTTTCAGCCACGGTGCTCCTTGAAACCATAGCTGATTGTTGACAAGTTCATCTGGTGATAGTCCACGCGATGCAACGTCTGCAGGGTTATCCTTGCTAGAAACGTGATTCCAGCAGCTTCGTGGCAGGTAATCCAAAATTGCAGATGTCCGGTTTCCTACAAATGTCTTCCACCTTCGGGGATGCGAAGACAGCCATTGCAGAACGATGCTGGAATCTGTCCATGCCCAGTGTTCGATCTGCTGGTGTGGCAAGGCTTCAGTAATCCGACGCATCAACTCCGTGAGTAGCAGCTTTCCGTTCAACTCTAGACGAGGTAGTGACACTTGCTTGATTGGTGCCACCCGAGATTTAGCCGCAATGAGTACCACCGAAACGTTGCCTTGATCATCGACTGTTCTCGCGTACACCACCGC